GTGCCGCTCCAGAAGACAAACAAACCACCGTAGGACACGGCCCCCAAGCGCGGGGTTTCGAATGCAGTTTTCGAACAGAGTGGATCGAAGAGATTCTCGTTCGGAATTTGGTGACCCGTGGAATCGTGAAAATCTATCCATCACAAAGGAGCACTGCGCGTCGTGGTGCCTTCTGTCAGCACTTATCGGTGCTAGACGGGATTCTCGGTTTACACGGCAACTGAGACCAAATACAGAAGTCGCTTGGATGCGGAGAACGATATGAGAGTCCAACTGTCTGACAGGTTGCAGGATTTCGGGGAAATTTCGAAAAAAGGCAACACCAACGTTCGCATTGATCCCTAATATAAATCCTCACGCGTCGTAAGATACATATGTGTAAATAGATGAGCCAAGGGCTCCGCACAACAGAATAAGTTATGTCCTCATGGAAACGTGCCTCGGGTGTCATTTCTTCTATGCGAAACCGCGATGTAGTGTGAAAGAAACGATGAATGATGAATTGAGGGTTCCGTGGGAGGATTCGTGGAACCCTTGAGGGGTTCCGGGAGAAGCTTTTCGGAACCCTCCGGGGTTCCCTGGTCCGAGAAAGGTTGGGAAACCCTGATCTACGATACTATCTAATCGACAGAAGTTACGTCCATGGATTATCGGAAGGAACTCCCCTCGCTGCAAGTCGTCCAAGTGATTGTGGGATCAAGGTGGAGCAAGCATGCCAGAATTCGAGTCGAATGTACATGCGATAGCGCGTGACTTGCCCGGTCAGAGTGAATCGAGCCATTGAGAGATCCTGTTCGCGGACTGGGAACAACTGGTATTTCTCAGAATTCTGTTTGACTTCCTATAAGACGCAGTGAGCGGAACGCAGCACTAGCTTGTCGATCCGCGGGCACTCGCTGTTAGAAGTCGATAGACTTAGGTAGTAGCGGCTCTCTCCTCCGGAGGCCTCGGACGCCGCAATTACGGCATCTCATTAGGGAGTTGGCGGATCGATCGGCTTTCTTTGTGAATTATCGATTGCTTACCGGATAGGATGATGGCACGCCAAGAGGGGTTCGTCCCGATTCCGAGCTGCCCCTTGTCCGGAAGGCCGAGCTGTCCTCATCAGGCATCAAAGCCCATCCACCCGGTTTTCGATCGGCCTTAAGCCCAGAGACTGATAAAAGGAAACAGTCACTGAGTCATCTGAATGACACGATACATAAATCGGCTCGAGCTCATCGACCTCGCCCCCCGAAGAACTTGTCACGTTTTTCACTCACGCGGAGAGTGGCGAGTTCATAAAGATATTCATTAGGAGTGTTAAGTACGAAGTGTGTTTAACTGATCGTGCCTCATAATGGGATGCTAGCGTGAGTGCCACCTCGGTCGTCATATTCACGGAAACAAAAACTTGGCAGCTTCCCAAGTTTCAGACATCGCGGGATGCAGGCGGACACCCGGACGGGATCATACCTGCCAAGCATCAGCAGAAGCCGAGACGGCGGATAATTACAGGTCCTTATCAGGGGTAGTTATTGCGAACGTATACCTCGGCGTATCGCAAGTCTCGGCGGGAGTATCCATCGGACAGAATCGTTCCTCTGGGGAAATGCGGAATCAACCCACAAGAAATGAGCCCTGCGTGTGGTCCGGAGCTGATGGTCGACAGACTGACAGAGGAAGCTCCCGAGCTGATTAGACCTCGTATGCTTCTGTGAAATATCTTTCCGGTCTCGAAAACATGATGAGCAAATGGTCAGCTGTTGAGCCCTTTGATCCACTGACAGCCGGGCCGCTTGATTGGCACAGGACGTGTCCAGTCGATAGAACCAGTAGTAGAGCTAGGCTTCAGGAACATAAAACTCGCGGCTTTGGCAGACAAAAAAAATCTAGAAAACGCTCATGTGAATTCTCTTGCTTCCGAGCGTTAGTGTCGGTCAGGGAGTCTCACCGCAGGAACATCGAGAATTCGAAGACAAGACATCGAAAATATCGCGAGGATCCTGTTCTGGCGCCCCTCGTATACGCAATGTTCGCCTTACTGGGACCACAATACAATGATTATATCTGATAATGAGGCACTGTATTTTCATAGAGTTTTTGAGGGGTCCGGGGGCCGAAAAAGAAGCAAATCGCCCATCGAGAACTTATCACGGGAAAAGAAACAGAAATGATATGAAGATAGACATTTTAGGCATCTTGGATAAAAGTCCTAGCCTCGATCCGAACTTCTTGAACACAATGTGGATCCGAGTGTAGTGCGATGGTGCCCGAGCCGGCGGAAGACTCTCCAAGGCCACGGACTAGCTTAGCTCGAGCGACAGTCTGGTACTCTCCGTGCCCGGACCTGGAACCAAAAGGGAGGGTGCGAGGAAATAGCGGAGGGCGATGAAATTCCGCGAATTGGGCTAACAATCGCCGCAGGTTGGGTCGATAAAGACGATGTTTCCGTTCAACGAGTCATCCTCTTCACACCCTGAACGTCTGATCGATTTAGAGCCTAGATCTAGCAACGAGATTTCGAGCACTGGACGGCTCCTAACGCCTCCTTGTATTTCGAAATCGTCGTCGATGCGACTTTCGCGTTTGCTCTCTTCTTCTAAACGAAAGCATCCTTTGTCACAAAAGAAGTAAATGCTCAGAACCTTGCCCTGTCATGGGGACTGATCGCATTTGAGCGTTCCCAACCTTTATGACCTAAGTCCTGGAGGCTAGCATGCCAACAGCATCCTGTTACGATCGGTACTACCTTTGACTTTGGTGAACTGAAGGATTCCCCGAAAAATATTCTCCAAAACCCGAGAGAAGCGAAGTTCGAAGGCAGTGCATCCGGATAATTCATCTATAGCTTCGTCCCTTGACCTGGATAGCCTCCTGTGATTTCATCCGGATCTCGATAAGGATCCGAGACGCGCTCAATTTTATCTTTTCAGAAAAGGGCTCCCATCTCACGCATTCTCTCCGGGAGCGATTCGGCTAAGATGACCAACAAAAACGGAGCTTATTGACGGACGGCATGTCATCAGAGAGGAACCTTTCGTGCTGTTTAGAATCCTAGACTCAAAAAACTTTGAATGTCTTGATCTCAGAACCTTCGGCGGCAGTCAGGCGGGAAGGGAAAGTCTTGACTTCCTAAGCGGACAGGCTTTTCCTGGATCGCGCATCGAAAGAGAAACTCGGGGACTTGATCGACTTCTTATCCTGTCGAGTTCCATTAAGGTTGCTCCCAACCGTGGTCTCTTTCTCCGCTCGCAAGCCTCAGATTAGGTTGGGATACGAAGTAGTCTCCATCCCGATATGGGGACTGATGCAATAAGCGAGAAGGTTCGCGGCGCAGAGGAGAATTCGTACGAGAAGTTCCTTCAACGGGAAATTCCTCTACGAAGGGTTTGTCCTCCTGGGAGCCCCTATACCAGCCTCCGTTCACAGATTTCCCTCATGTGTGGGTTCAAGAGATCCGTTTTTCCATAATCTATTTGATGAGGGGACTCGGAGATTATCGCCGTCCAAGGGGGGAGGGACAACAAGAGCTTGGTTCTCGTAGCTGCGAAATACAGTGCCCGGGATGGGAGCACCTCAAACTTGGAAAGTACGAGCCGTCGAAGCGGTCGGCCGTGACAGTCGCTTCGTAGAAGCCGGAGGAGCTCCCTCCTTGATCTGCGCAGCTTATCGAGGAGAGGATGAGCACCTACAAGGACCTTGTCATCCATATCGAGTCCTGCTTCCAAAGAATTCCCGTTTGTAGTCGGACCACTCTCGTGTTCGACGATCCCCTTAATAGAGCTCCGTGATCACGGTGGCTTGATTGCGAGTTGCAACTCAACGTGATCCCCGCTGAGGGTTTCTACAGGCCTGCTCGTCAAGAATTCACGCAGTCTCATAAGGGCACCTCGGGGCAGATTTGAAAGATCGGATCCAAACCAGAAGGATTCGATGCCTCGTACGGAGCTTAGCTCTCGGCTGAGCTGCTCAGACGCCAAGCGTTTGTGAATGATTTCTTTCCGAAAAACTATCCCTAATGAAAAAAAGGAGTGAGCTGTCCCACCATTTTTCGGGAGGCTCCCAGGTTTTCGCGTAATCTCCTTTGTGAGACACGTACGTATGCCCGGGTCGTTACTCGACCCCGCATTGGAAATCAGTCCTTCCGCCATCTTATTGGAGCGCCGTTCCCACCGGGTCACATGAATCAGACATTGAGGACTCGATAGTGATGGAAGATGCAGAGGAAACGATACCGCTCCCAGGAACTCGACTCAGATTGACCAAAAGCCGAAGGCCGAGATATCGGGATACCTCCCGCTACTCGGAAAATAATTCTTCTCGGATTTTAGAATTGACGCCGCATCAGGAGGGATGGACCTTCTCGCTCCGACAGCTTGGGCGGGGTCGAATTCTGTTCAGGCCGTGGGGAGACGGCAGAAAAATATCTGAGCCACCATTATTGATCGCTGGGATCGGCATTAACGATTAGGAATATCGGGAGCTCACAGAGCTAGGGCGGCCATTAGGAGCTTCGAGCAACAGGTGCGTTTGCCGCGAAAGTTCACTTCTTTACGGAGTGTCGCGCAGTGTGAATTTCACTGAATCCCCGATTCCGGTCCGCGGTCACAGCGAGCTCGCCTGGGAAGCTCGCGAATTCTCGCCGAGAAACTAGGTCGCGCTCGCACCTGCTAGAGTGGTTGCGCGATAAGCGCTCCAGAGGTTTTCTGCCGGCAAGACAGGTTTGGCGACCGTGGCAGCTCCGTATCGGCACTGCTCCTCCATGCTGATGAGCTCTCGGTTGGGGGTCGAGTACTACGTTGAGCGCCCTATGTATCTACGCGATGGGCTCTCCGAAGCTTCATTCAGTGTGTGCGTCTGCGTGGACTTTGATTGTCTTGGCTGCTCAAGTCAGAGCAGGGTGTCATACACTTCTCGGGATTTCCACCTGTCCCAATGACGAAGCGGACGATTATCCGTTCTCATTGGCCTGGTATTTCGTTAATTTTTTCCATCAGCAAGAGCAAGTGCGAAAGATCATGGAGCGTTTCGAAGGTGAGTTTTGGCCCGTTCGTTTCCGGGCGGATCTCGATCAGACGGTCTCGGGCCCCGGAAGCTCGGCCTGACGGAGGAAAGTGTCGATCCAGGTATGATCTTTCATAGGGACCGTCGTTGGTGCTCAAATTCGTCGTTCACCGAAACGGATCGTCGATCTGTGGAATTTGTCCAAATCGGAAGTGTCCACACGTTTCGCGGAAACAGTAGTGGAACACTTCAGAAATAATGAAGAGCCTGTCGACTTGCTTTACGATCAAGATGTAGATTATAGGTGAGTCTCGAGATCGAAGGGAGAGCTCTCGGTTACGTCCACTCTCATCCATTGACAAGGGAGACAATCATACAATCCCCGGTGGTAGAATCAGGATCCTGCTCCGCTGAACATTCGCGACGATTGTGGCGAATCCGCGATAGAATCTCTTCGCTTACAGGATTCTCCACCGTGTTTTCCGCAAGCACTTCACCGAAATTTTGAAATTTCTGCAAGAGTTCGTCGAAACCGTAGACTTGGACCCTGAGCTTCGCCAAGCCGCCAGCGTTTACATTAACTACATCGAACAAGACGAAATGATGATTCGCTTCGGCCCGGATCCTCTAAGCCTCACCCCCCTCCAGATGATTCTACAAGCTGTCGATTGATTTCGATACCTGACTCTCATAACAAGAAAGGTGATGTTCCGATTCCGCACAATCGAATGCCTCCGAGAACTACAGGATAAACATACATCTCCTCATAGTGCTCATTCTCCAAATGTGGATCGCCCGAGTCGCAGCGCGCTCCATCATCTATCATGGACCCTTCGATTTCTCCTGCGCAGAAAATCGGGGAAAAGCATGAACAGATGATATCGACATTCCGTCCAAGATTTTCGCGTGATGAACTTATATGCGGGTCCTTATAGAATCCTCCATCACTGTTCACCTTGTTCTCAGAAATCACCAAGTTTTCTCGTACGGTATTTCGGATTTTTGTCATGTCGGGCTCACCGTGGGCCGCTAGCTAAGGAGGATCCGGCACCAGACACGGGTTCCTCAGGAACGCACCGGGAGTCGCCTACATCGGGGGAATTCGCTTCCGGTAGGATTGCGAGGGGCGATTCTCAGATAAAGAAATCTTGGTTTACATACAATACACATAAACATCTGATTTATTCGCGGACTTTCCGCAGCTTATAGTATTTTTTCCGCGATTTCGGCAATCACTCGCCTTCTGGACTATTTATATTTTAGGGTGGGGTGTCGGCCTTTCCCCTACTCGCTTCACTTTTCATGGGCAAGAGATTCTCTGCGCTTCACGGATTTCCTGAAACTAGGATTCATACCGCTGGACACAATCAGTACTTTTCTTCGGCACTTTCCTTCTTGATTCGCCATAGAAGTCTCTCAAATGAGACCATGAAGAAAAAGCCGGTCGAAAAGACACCTCTAAAAGGCTCATCCCGGCTTTGCCTCGAGGTCTCTTGCTTATTTTCGATCGTTGAAGTGTATATTCCAGTCGGGATCAACTATGAGCGTCATGTACACCCCGTCGAGCGCTGTTTCAGACCGAGCTCGAGAAGTTTGTCAAGAGATCTCGTTACTGATAGCAAAAGCTGGGAGGAGTCACTGAGATGAAGAAGGATCGGTGAAGCCTGTGGTCTTCAAACTTCGAACCGCACCATTATAATGAAATCCACGTACATCAGCTGCCTTTAGTGAACTCCGTCTCTCTCCGGCCGCCTCCATCGATAAATAGTCATCAAGAACAATCCTCCGAAACCTAATACTCAAGCCAGAGTTGAACTTGTAGGTACCTACCTTTTCCGCTCGGATCCGTGTAATCGAGGAAATCCTGGATCGCTTTTCGCGAGATCGGTACAGGCGGAAGCCGTGTCGGCTCTGAGAGATCTTCGGCAGGCAAGTTCGAGTGTTTCCACGGTGCGTTTGTAAATGCTTTGCAGATATAGGGCGCCTGTCTGGTACACTTCCGGACTGGTCTGCGGGCCTTTACCCTTGAAAATCGATTCAACCGCGCGATGTGCCAGGCACTCGACTCTCGTGCCGGTGGGGAGAACTTTCTTGGGCAGACAGTTACGGGTGGTATCGTGATGTCGTGATCTCTCAGGACGTCGGTTGCGAGTTGCGATCCGGTCCAGTTCAGCCGACTGATTCCCTCCTATTTCTCTCAGAGCTCCGGTGGCTTCCTCGTTGGGAGTTCATATAAATTCGGTGTTCCATTCGGCCGAATCTTCGCGGTTTGGGTCATCACCCATGTGTCATCCGCTGATGAGCTTGCATTCCCATGGTATTCTTTGAATGACGACGTATCGAATTCCGGCAGGCATGGGGTTTCCTTTTCCAAGAGCACAATCCATGGTCTTGTTCATCTGGAGTTCACCTTCTGTTCGAGCTCACTAATTTCGTATTCGGTCCGCTTTTTTCAACGCGGCTCCGTGTATTATCCGCGCGATTGTGCAGTCCGTGATTCCGTGATGAGAGGAGCTGACCGTCGGTCGGGAACTGCCCCTGGATATCGTGGTCCCTGATGCTTCTAATCGGTGGCTTTGGTCGTCCCTCGATGAGTGTCGCTCCACGAGTGGTGTGTCGGAGGCTCAGTAGTAGTCAATTATATGTACACATGTGTGAATGTCTGGAAGCCTCAATGCCGAATCGCGGTCCCGGAATCAATCATGAGAGCTGATGTATCGTGCAGTTCTTGGGCAAGACTTTCGACGATGGGAAGATTCTCCAAGGGGTAATCGTAATCTTGGCTACGCCTGGAATAAAAATCTCGGCATCGCACGCTAAAACTATCCGTCGATGAAGAATACATGCTCCGGTCAATATTCTGCCTGGGATGTTTGATTAGTAGCTCAATCACTTCGATGGATGTTTTCAGAAACATCGACATCCATGTGTCCATGTATGTAGGACTCCGACGATGCTACGCCTGAATGATCAATTCTGTGACTCTCAGTCAGCAGCGAATAGCAATTCTCGTTTGTGGTCAGACATCGTCGAATAGCAAACGCGGATCTGTAAAAAATTCACTATGTCTAGAAATTATATCTCCGCTCAGATTGGAGGAGAAGCCTAGCGAGTTCTGTTTCCTTCGTCCCTCTCCATACGGGCTCGCGACGATGGGGGCGTGTGATTATGGCGACGCCCTCGAGCCTATGTATGAGGCGTAACTTCCAGCATTCATGAATAAAAGGACACAATGTCTGATAGAAGGCCTCAGCTGCCGAGCTTCGGTAGATGACTCGCATTTTAGCTCCAAACGTTGCAGCTCAGACTTTCGCGACGACGCGCGACGGAGGCAATTTCATCACATTTATGCGGCACCTATCAGCGCGGTGCCGCTTCCCTGTGAGGACATGTAGAATGTCCCTGCGTGGTGCCCGGAGCTGGTGTCCAATCCCATCGGTGTTTCCTTCCCATCGCATCTCGGATCTGAGCTCGCAGAGCGAAAATCCTGCCAAAAGTCGACGTCAGCGAAGAATTCATAGGACAATGCTGCTCGCTTGGAGTCGTAGTCACATTCAGAATCTCAGTGTGACAAGAATCTCAGACTCATCTCAGTTTTTGAGATACTTGATACGGGAGGAGTGATCATATGCTCCCTCCCTCGCTCACTCCTTTTTCCCAAGAAAAAAAATATTCTGAGAGAAAGAGACCGATTCAGTCCGGGCGGTATAGGAGCAAAGGTTCGGTGCGATTTCGATGGCCGTGACGCAAGAAATCCTTCAGGGAACGGAATTTTCATCCATTATACTTAGGAGGTCCGATGACGCGCGAAGCGCCACAGAAACTTATGACTACCAGCAGACTCGCACACGGAAGCAGTCGTTCGACTGTCCTGTCTCCTTATATATTTATGAATTGCAGTAGGACAAACATTTTCTCCTCCGCACTCATCAGCCGGACCCCGTCGAGCGGACACGGAGCCCCGTCTACATCTGTGCTTTTCGAATGAGGCGAGACCATGCCCTTCCACGGTCGCTGGAGATTCGGCGACCCAGGTATAATATACAGGTCTGGGGAAAGTATGACTTGTCCCCGTCTAGGGGTGCGCTTATTGAGTGCGTCGGGACGTCAAGAGTTGAAGCGAGCCTTGGACAATCGCTAACGATCGCACTCGACTTCTCGATTTTTCCGACGAACCGACTCGGAGACATATATTTTGTTAGATGCCTCCCAGAGTCGCAAAGGTATTTTTCTAGAATGTATCATCATAATCGTCCCACGAAGCGAATCTTCCCAAACTCTTTCCGGATATAGCTCCTTATTTCTCTATTCGAAACGAGGCGCTTCCCTTCCTTTCTGGCCTAAAAAAAACCGATGGCAGGTAGTATCTTCGACACTACCGTTAAGCGTGAAAACGTCAGATACATCCGGTGTTGTTCTGCTTATATCGACTGACTAATGTTTTGAACTCGAAATGATTCATTCCCAATCAAGATAAAATGCTTGAAGGTTATATTGAAATTCCATTCTGGCTTGGAGGTCAGTCTTGTCTCAAGTAGACGGGTTCAACACTTCTTCAAATTCTTGGTCGGCGCCCTCTTGTTCCCACCACCTAAGAAGCCGCATCTGAGCTGCTATAGCGTCGGCGTCCTCTTTCTGAATGATGGTGCTGCTTGGGGTCGCTAGCGATCGGTGCCCATCGTACTCCTTGACCATAGCGTTTTGGACGAGTATACTGGTTCCTTCGCTGTCCTTAAGCTTATTCACATGGTCATTCCATTCTCGCACACAGGATCTAATTTGGGCAAGTCTGTTGGCTTCGGTGGGTATGTATATCCATTGATTCTACTGAGATTGGGTATTTTCTTATTCCTACAAATCTTGTAGCAATTGTGGCAGAGTCTGAAACTGACGGCATCTTCGTCCGGGAAATATGGTGCCAAATAATCTGCCATCTGAGAGGTGATCGGCTTCAAATCCCGTACAAACCAGATGCGATCGCAAACATCGCATTTGTGTCCAAATTCATTATCGGAAAACATGCGACGGAACTGAATTGTGGCACGCTTCCATAATTGAGTGTATGTGAATCGTTTCGACTTGGCTCGTCGATCGATGTTGAAATGTCATTTGATTCGTTTACTCCCCTGCGGGCATTGTCAGCTCCAGTACCACGAGACACGACCGATGAAGTCTCTCGGCGACGCTTCCGGTATTCAGCTGGCCTCTCAGCAGAAGTTTTCTTTCTTTTCACTGCCCTGCCCGCTGAAGCTTCCGCTCGCCGTATGTTTTGCCTTCTACTGGCGGTTTTTGGCCGCATCATGGAAAATTCACAATCTCAAATGATCAATGCCGATGACGATCACTAATCAAGAATGTAATGAACTTGACGGATTCCTCCCATGATAACGAAGAACCCTTGAGTGGCACTAGGTTTATGTCCCGAGTCCCGACAAAACACTCGATTTTGGAAGTTGTTCTATCCTGCTGTGAATGCGAATCTGACCGGCGTCAGAACTCCCCCTTTCGCCATCTTGTTCAGCGCCTGTTCAGCCTGTTCTCTTTTCGCATATGGCACGGATCTCGCTTTGCTGAAGGTGGCCACGGCTCCCGGGATGACTTCCAGCTTGAGCTTTTGGCCCCTGAAGCGACCCAAGTCACTCCCGAATACGTCCTTGTAATCTTTTATCACTTCTTGCCACGTACCTCCAACTTCGTTTACTGTCATCTCTGCGGTCTCGTTCTGACTTGCAGGCAGACATTCCCCGAATTTCTTCAACCAGTTTCTTCCCATCAGTGTTCTTCCTTTCCGAACCACCAAGGCCCTTAGTTTCTCCTTTCTTCCGCGGCTCTCGACGTCATATTCCGCTATTCCGACGATATCAATATTCTGATTGGTGTACGAGAAAACTGGAATGTTGTGAGGGTTGATTTTCGGTCGTGGTCGTAGCTCGTTGTGGATTTTCAAGGGTATGAGAGTATAGGCTGAGCCAGTATCGCACAGCAGTTCCTG